CAGGGGCTAGCTTTTTCCCAGTCTCACTGGGCTGCCCTATACTAGATTTAGGTTTTGGTGATTTCACAGGATCACAGAATTGTAAAATAGCCTGAATTGGAAGGGACCCACAAGGAGCACTGAGTCCAACTCCTCAGTGCACACAGCAACCTAAAAGTTAAACCACGGGTAAGGGTGCTGTCTGAACAGGTCTCGAACAGAGATGGGCTTGGGGCCATGGCCACTTCCCTGGGGAGCTTGACCACCCTTTCAGCGTAGAACTTTTTCCTAATACCCAATCTCTGCTTCCTCTGATGCAGCTTTCAGCCATTCCCTCGTGTCCCATTGTTGGATACCAGAGAGGAGAGACCAGCACCTACTGCTGCTTCCCCTCCTAAGGAAGCTGTAGGCAGCATTGATGTCAGCCATCAGTCTCCTCTAAGCTGGACAAAACTAGTATCCTCAGAAGCCATCCCTTCTTCCACTGTCTTCGTTGCCCTCCTTTGGACACATTCTAATATTTTTTTATCCTTCTTGCCTTGTGGAGCTCAAAACTGCACACAGTACTCAAGGTAAGGCTGGACCAATTCTGAGTATAGTGGCACCATCCCTTCTTTTGTCTGGTTAGCTCTAGTGTGCCTAATGTTGGCCCTTTTGGCTGGCTGGGCACATCGTTGACCTTGCCATGCACCAGAACACCCAGATGCCTTTCTGCAGGGCTGCCCTCCACCCTCTTGTCCCCCTTGGTGCGTATGTGCAGCCAGGATTATGCCACCACAGGTGCAGAAGCTTAAATTTCATATGGTTGGTGATTGCCCAGCACACTAATGTATTAAGGTTTATCTGTAAGGCCTCTGGCCCCTCGAGGGAGTCAACAGCTCCAAATTTCGTACTGTCAACAGGCTTAGTGCACACTCAACTCCTGTATTTAGGTCATTGATAAAAGCTTTGAAGAAAACTGACCCTAAAATCAAGCCCTAGGAAACACCACTAGTGACTGGCCACCGGATAGATGTCACCCTCTTTACCACAACTCTCTGAGCCCAACCCTTTGCCAGTTGTTCACCCATTCTATTTGTGTACGTGTCTAGCTGTATGCAGGACGTTGGCTAGGGAGATACTGAGAGAGCATCAAAAGCATTGCTAAAATCCCCCCAAAACCCCCACATCTGCCCCCTTCCCTTTGTCCACTGGGCAGGTAACCTTGTCATGAAAGAGAATTAAGTCGGTAAGGCGTGACTTCCCCTTCGTGACCCCCTGCTGGCTTTGACCAATGCCTGCGTTGTTTTCCAAGTCTTTTTCAATAACTCCCAAAATAATCTCCATAATTTTGCCAGGCACCAGAGTGAAACTGATGGGCCTGTAATTACCAGGCTCGTCTTTCTCAGCCTTGAAAATTGGGACATTCACCAGCTTCCAGTCGCCTGGGACCTCTCCAGCTTCACAAGACTGTTGATAGGTTTGAGAGAGGTCTCGCAGTAGCATCAGCCAACTCTTCAGTGCCCTGGGATGAAGCCCCTTGGGCTCCATAGACCTGCGTGCGTGCAGTTGCAGCAGCAAATCCTACAGAAGTTCAAAGTCCACTGGGAGCTTAGCGTTCCCCTCCCGCTGTGGCCCTCCAACCCAGGTCTCTGGGCATCCCGGGGCCCGTCGTGGGTGTTGGACAGGGGGGAAGAAGGCATTACATGTCTCATTCATCTCCACTTGGAGCTAAGGTGACTGGCCTCCTCAAGTAACAGACCAGTGTTTTCTTTAGAATTCCTTTTGCTGTGAACACACTTTAAAAAGACTTTTTCGTTATCCGCTGCAGTACCAGCCAGCTTCAACTCCACCTGAGGTTGGGCCATACAGATTTTCTCCCTGTAGTGGTGAATGCCATGTCTGTAGACCTCCTGTGTAGCATGTCCTTCCTTCCGAAGTCCACGCACTCCTTTTCTGCCGGCGCTGCAGAAGCAGATCCCTGTTCAGCCAAGCCAGCATCTGCCTCATTTGCTTGACTTCGGATGCATTAGAATTGCCTGGTCCTGTGATCTTGAAAGATGGCCCATTAAAAGTGACCAGCATGTATGTACCCCAGTAGCCTCAAAAGCAGATTCCCAGGGGACCTTACTAACTAGTTCCTTGAGCAGCGTAAAGTCGGCTCTCCCAAAATCCAGGGTAGTAGCTCTACTGACAGTTTTACCACCGAAGACTTCAAACTCAAATATTTCGTGATCACGATGGCCAAGACTGCCACCCACAAGAGCATCTCAATTTACAAACAACTCCCAACTTAAGCTCTCCAATGACAGAGGGAGGCCTTTAGGGCCCTCTTACTCAGGTGAAGCAGAGCACGAGGTGTTGAAAGGACCGGTTATAATCTACGACTGCCCAGTTTTACAACTCACTGGAAATCAGAGCCGTAACTCATACCCACAGGTCTTGACTTTGCAACATCAAGGAAGCACTGATTTTTTTAAACCAGCTTTGAAAATGCATTCTCAACGAGCCACCCGAAAGTAAAGCTGTATGTAACAGCACCTGAGCATGAAGCTTATTTCAGTGCTGCATTTCTTGATGCGCGCTCACGAAAGGTCCCGTGCGGTCTGTGCTACTGCAGACACTGCACGTTACAGTTGCGTCAAGCTCTGGAATTTAAAATCAAAAACGGTTCTCGGAGCAACCCGTGCTTGCTCCACAAGATGTCTTTATTCTCACGCTTTGGGTAGACTTTAAGCTAACCCTTGGTCTGCCTTGCTTTAGGCTGTGGCAGCTTTTTAAGAAGGAAGTGAATTAGAGCCTGGCCCTTGATGCTGCCCAGGACTCTCAAGCAAAGGTCGCTGTTGGAGTAGGTCTTTAGCCCCGTGGCTTAGAAGGGGCTATCTGGCATCATTCAGAGGTACACAATACACCTCCCCGTATCTTCAATTCTCTGCTCGGTGTTTTTCCCCCCCTGTCCCTTTCCTGCTTTTTCCTCCAGTGGCAGCAGAGTTGCAAAGCCAGCTAGTAAATGCACGTGCCTGTTGGCTCACAGGCCAAGCGAAACTAAAGTCCAGCACCTGGAAGCAGAGTCTGCTCACAGAGTATCTTCTAGCTTGCCAACATTTCCAACCAAGTTTCCTGCCGTATCAAGTGTCAGCAGCAAGCAGGGTCCTTTCTCCCAAGGTGTGTGATCTATCCCAGGCAGCTTTCTTGGTCACGCGCCCCAGAAACAGCTGCTGAACTCGGAAAGGGTGGGATTTCTGCTGCGGCATTATTTCTGCCTTTGCTTGCTTGAGGCAGAGTTTGCAGCAAACAAGGGGCAGAACGTCCCCTAGCATGGGCAGGACAGCACGTGGCATTCATCCTTGGTTCCGTGATTTGTCCCTCACAAGCTTGCCTGTTGCCTAGACATAGGGTGAAGTTGCTTTTTCTAACAGGATGAGTTCTTTTGTCTTAGGAGTACGTTATTGCTGTCCCTGTGCCAGGCAGGATGGCCTCGGGGAATGCTAGTCTCTGTGGCAGCATGGCTGACATCGCTACAGCGCCCATAAATCTTGTCCGCTCTCCAACCTTGCCTTAGCTCTGCTCATGCATTTGCCACCGGATCAAAGCAGGGAGCTTAGCTGAAGTTGCCTAAATCATCTTGCCCATCGTCCTGGCACTAGATGTGGCTCAGACCGAACAAAATGTCCTGTCTCACATTTCTAGGCATGCTTGGTCTGGATCCTCGGTCACTTTGTGACCTAGTTCAGGCTTTCTCCTAAGTGAGACTGGGCTCTTCCTGCCATCAGCTCTAACCAGGTCCTAATCCAGGACACCAGAGCTATCTTTTTCTTTGAGTAGCAAATGCCCACAGCCTAAGCAGTACCTGTCCTCATTAATTAAGGATTCCCCAACACCTTCTCTGCAATCTTAAGCCGGCTGCCGCAGGAAGGTTCAGGTCTGCCATCTTTAGCTGTGGCTTTAGCCAAACTCTCTCGGCATTCTCCCAAATGGTCTCTGCGTACAGTTCACAGGCTGGGAGCTAGTTTTAATTGGCAAGACTTTAAAAAAAAAAAAAAAACCAAAAAAACAAAAAACCCACACGCTGAGTCCCATTCTAACACCACTAAGGACGGGCTCCAGTGCTAAGGAACGCTCTGCAGCATTCCCAGGATGATACAGTGGTGGGAAGGGACTTCTGGAGGTCTTCAATCCAGGCTGTTGCTGTAAGTGGCACTGTTACAAGCACTAAGTCAGATCGGCTGCGGCTTTGTCCATTCAGGTACTGAAAAACCTGCGAGGATAGAACTCCCCCTCTGAGCATCTGTTTGAACCCTGTCCGATAAACCCGATCTTAGTGTTCAACCTGAATCTCTCAAGCTTCAGTTTGGGACCGTTGTCTCTGATTTTATTATCTGCCACTACCATCATCTTCTTACCACCCCTCTGTGGAACTGTAGATGATAGTAGTTACCAGAATTATTCATCACCAGTATAAATAACTACCAGTCACCAGTAGTTATCAGAAGTTATTCATTACCAGAATAAATAATCCAGCTCCCTTAGCCCCTGACCGACTAGTAAATGTGAAGCTACAATGTGGCCACGCTCTGGTCTACCTTCGCCACAAAGATGAAGTTTAATTTCTACCAAGTGATGCCTACATCAGAGCAGTCAGGCACTACACTCTTTGCTGAAGGCAGCCCTTAGGATTCGCCCTCCAGCTCAGGTTGGATACTACCAAAGACAGATGAGAGGTGACAAAATGACTAATGCTGTGGGGGCCTGAGGGTGACTCTTCCAAATACCAAAATTTAAGTGCAAATGCCTGCATCTGAGTTTGTCACAGCTAGCTGTTTGTGCCCAAACTTACCTGACAGCTACCAACACTCAAGCCTCACAGCAAGGAGCCACTCTAATTGGTCACAGCTTCTGTTCAGGAGTCTGAGGACTGCAGGCAGTGATGAAAATTAAGCTAGAGCCATTCTTGTAAGTCTTTGCAGGGCTGCAAGTGAAGCCAGAAGTACAGCTATACTCAAAGAGAAATTATAGAAAAAAAAAATGTTTGGGACTCAGCATTCAAACAAATACAAGTTTATTTACAAACAGAGGAGAAAACGTGGCCATCTCATCAAATTCTGGTATATTTACAGCATTTAACCGAAGGATCAAATAGACAACGGATCATAGAGCAGAGGGTTAGTATTAAGGAAAGATGAAATTTCCTGTTGAATTGCAGAGTAGCTGAGATGAAACAGGCTGAAACCTCCATACTTTAAAAGCTGAGGCTTCGGGGAACACTACCAGGCTAAACTCTACCTCACAGCAGTGGGCAGAGCTGCAGCTCCTGTAAAGAGCTTCCTTCGCTTTTCCTCGGGAAAAAAGACTCTCAAGCTGACCCAGCAGCGGTGAGTTTGGGCCCCAGTGCTTAAAGAGGAAGGGAAGGAAGGGGAGTGATTTTTTTCCTGTTAATGAATGATGAAGGGGCAGCAGGAGCCTTCACTGACCTGCACAGGCAAGGGACAATGAAGTCGGTCAGCTGAGCTGGAAAGGAGTCGGGTTCAGGACATTGAAAGGTGGTGCTGAAGAAAAGGGGAAGGTTTTGTTCCAGTCCAAGAATGAGGAATGCAATACAGGCAGCCTGGACGTGAGCTCCACTCCCGCACCCCAGATTCAAAACCTCCACAGAGCTACCTGCAACGTATGCTTATTTTTTCTTTAGTGAGCCTTTCAGTTTCTTCTCTGAGGAGCGCTGTTTCCGCACCTTCTCATCCTTTTTCCCCAGGTTCTCATAAACCATTGACTCCTCTTTCTGCCTGTAAGACCAGGAAAAAACAAGGGAAAAAAATGAGCAAGAGAAAAAAAGCCAGCCAGGCCAGCAGGGAGACTATTGGCAGAGGCAGGCACAGCTGGGCCTCTGGTTTAGGTGAGCTCTTCTTACTTGGAGGATTTTCGCGAAGCCTTGGTGTGCACATTCCTCACTGCAGGGGGGTAGGCAATGTTCCCATACTCAGACTCATTCGGTTTGCCTTTCTGAGACTACAGGAGAGAATAAAACAAGCTGAGGAGAGTGTGGTCTGAGAGAAGCATGTGAGGCCTCATGGAAGAGTTCTGGCCGTTTAACCAGGCTTCATGCTAGGATCTCAGTGGAGGTCGGTGCACTGCTGAAGTCCTCAGGCTCAGTGCACTCTGCCTGCTGCTGTGGCAGAGGTAAGCAGCAAAGATGCAAATGCATCCTTGTATGGGGATGAACAGTGGGACAACAAATTTCTGGAGGCACTGGAATGCCCGAGAGTGCTACGTGTCAGTTAAGGAATATTAAACAGATAGCAGCAGCTACTGGATGCTGCCAGAGGCTACAAGGAGGGATAAAAGATACCACTTATCAGCTAGTAGGGGAGAATTCTGCAGCTGTAGAACCGGGCTGGGAAAAACTGGACAGGAAAGGGCCAAGTCTTTGACTGTCCTAGATTCAGCTTGTAACAAAACAGTGAAGATAACTTGAAGATCACTTGTTGAAAATGTTATATAGAACATGGTTGATATAACCACATCGAAACGTGCTGCTGTTCAGCAGTTCAGAAGAGGCTGGTACTTAAACTGCTAATGCGGTCCCTTGAATTTTAGAGAGGAACAGGGACTCAAATCTTGGTGCACCATCACAGTCTACGCAGGTCCCAGGGCTAGCTTAAAGCTTATGAAACAGAGCACTTGGTCTCAGAGCCAGCACCGTGCCGGGCCTAGACTCACGGGACAGAAAAGTAGAATCCCTTTTCTCACCTGGATAACTTCCAGCTTTTTCTTGGTCGTCTCTATGAACTGGCAGATGGCCATGTAGATGAACTTGTACTGGGCTTCTGTCTGCACCATCCCTGAGCGTTGGGCCCTCACCATCTGGATGGTCTTCTGGATGTCAATGTCACAGTCCAGCCCTAGCAAGGGGAACCAGAAGAGCTTATGGACACATTCACTGCCACCCTCCTAGTTCTCCAACAAAAGCAGTCACAGTGGGAGCCAGTCAAGAAGTTTCCACCTCCCTCCGTACTCTTTACTTCTGTATGGACCTCCTGTCCCTCCTTCCCGCTCAGCATCTTTCAAGTCTGGCCCTGAGGGAAGAGCCCAAGCTCAGGGAAGGTTGAAGCCACAGTGAGTGGATATGGTGCAGAGATCCAGCAGCTGCCACACAGCAAGGGCAGCACAACCTTCAGGGCTGTGGCAGGATCTCTCGCACTGATACCTAAGAATTCTCATCCATCTGCACTTGGACTTAAGGGCACAGCCCTACTGGGTAGGCCAGTTCGCTTCAAGATACTTTGGGGTCCTCTTACCCTTGGTGGAGATTGTTTCCACTATCATATCAATGACGATGATAGTCCCAGTGCGGCCAATCCCAGCACTGCAAGGAGAGGACAAGCAGAGGTCAGAGCAAAACAGCTCCTGAAACAAAATGCAGCTGCTTCTGGGCAAGGATGTGGCACTTGCAGCAGCTGTTCAGCAATGCCACAAAAGATTAATGGATTCAACAGGAAAAGAGTTTGATTTGGGGGCATCAAAGAGGAAAAAGCAATTATTGGGGCTGGCATATCCTTCACTTGCAAGTCCTGGGAAACAGCTGGTGCAGCAGGACAGACTTTCTATACCTCACCCTAGATAAGGGATGGAGAATGCTTCAAACCACAGCCCCTGTACCAACCTGCAATGCACCAGAACAGGCCCTGCATCTGGGATGCTCTCTTGCTTCTGGTTTATTTGGTCAAGGAAGCTGAGAACTCCTCCTGGCTCGCTGGGTACACCATGGTCAGGCCAGCTCAGGTATTGGTAGTGCCAGATCTCACGCACAGCCTTACCCTGGCAATAACAAAACACCCCACTAGTAAAAGGGCAACAGAGTCCTATCCCTGGCCTCTGTCCCAGGGAGAGACGGGCCTGAAGGCAGAGGGAATCTTTGTCTCCTGCACACTTCTTGGTGATTCCACCAGTGTGATTCCAGACCAGACCGGGTGGGAAGAGCAAACCCAAGAACGATGCAACAGCAGCATCACCACCAGTTGGGCTCAGTGACAGCCCTTGACCAGACACACTCACGTTATTCATCGGAGACACGCAGAGGTGCCGGAGTTTGTACTCCAGTGCATCGTGCTCCCCAGCGTTCTCCACAAGGTAGGGACCGTATTCCTTCATGCTGCCCACCTCCGGCCAGTAAGGCACACATTTGTTCTGTGTGGGCAGAGAGGGCAGGGTGAGGATGGGCAGAAGTCAGGAGAGAAAGAAAAAGCAGAGTGGTGGTGGAAGGGGAAAAGAGGGCAGCTCTGAGACACCTACAAAATGCTACTTACCCGCCCTTTTTCTACCTCCCGTGTAGTCATCACAATGATGCGTGTGTTCTCCTGCCACACCATCTGCCAGAAGTCATTGACTGTGGCATCCAGGCAACCCTGGCTAGCAATGTAGGTCTTGGTGCGCTCATCTGGGCTGATCAGGTTGTTCTGAGTATGGACAGGGAAAGATCAGGGGACTGCAGGAGCAGGCAGGCCTTCCCCCCCGTTTTGGGCATACAGCCATCTTTCAAGAGTCTCACCTTGACATAGTTGGCATTGATATAGTCAGATCCAGGTATATTTGGGTCCCTTCCTTGGAGGATAACTCTGGAGTGATCAACTGGGGATGAAGTGAAAGAATAAACAGAGCAATGAGATACTTTGTGCCCAGCCACATGAAGCTCCTTCGCTGCCCCGTGCCAACTCATTCATGCCACCCAGCTACCCACCTCTCCTTTGGTGTCACACCAATTGCACCCCATCCTCCCATCTTTCTACCCCTATGATGGACCACCAGAAGTTAATGAGTCTGGTGCAACCCTCTCTCCTTCCTTCAGGTACACGAAAAGACCGTGACCTCTCTCAACATCTCTTAAATCCTCAATGCTGCACATCTTGTAACCTGCTCTTGAGGATAGAGCAAGCTGAGGCAGGGCCAGGGATGACTCAGACAGCTCTTCATTGCCTGCCTGTGTCTGTTTGTTTTGCTGGGTTTGCTTTTTTTTTTTTTTTTTTCCCTCCTTTTTTTTTTTTTCTCCTTTTTTTTTTTTTTTTTTTTATAGTGGAGAAGCAAGACTCACAGGGCAAGATGTTCTTGTATCGGTTCTTGCTCTTGTTTTCGGGTCTCTGACCCTCCTGACGGTCAAACAGCTGCTTGGCTTCTTGCTTTTGCAGACTCTGAGAGCAGAAGAAAGACTAGTCATGGCAAGGTCACAATGTATGACAGGGGAGGTAGGCACTCAGAGGAACGGTGGTGGCTCTGGGGACACATGGGCATGCTTGTGGGGGAGCAGAGAAGTGAAAAGTAAGCCTAGACTTGAAAAGTCCAAGGTTCATGCCCTTACTGTCCTGGTGACTCATTCTCACAACCATGAAAAAGCACATTTCTACCTCACTGGGTTCACTTAAAGATGACACTCGCTCCCCAGAGTAACAGGTTCCAGTCAGAGACTTCTTTCAGAGATAAACTGACAAAAATGTACAAGACACCTGAGAAGTCCAGGAAGAAATCAAGGTTGGAGAATGAGTTTGTGCACAGGGACTAACCCCAAAAGCCAGAATAATGTTCCCCAGCAGTTTCTTACATCAAATTCCTCCCAGAATCCAGCCTTGGATGTCTCCTCAGATAGACTCTTCTTGTTCAGTTCCTGCACTCTATTCTCAATGTCAGCAGCGTTCACCCTTGTAGCGTAATAGGGCTGGGGATAGGAAAAACACAGCAGGTTGGCATGAGAGACACGTGCTGCTGGAGAGCAAAGTCGCCTCTGTGTGCTCTGGAGAAGAGGAGGAGAGGGACACGAAGCAGAAACAAACGGCAAGTGGGTCCCGCTCCAAAGGATCCCTAAGAAACAGAGAAATGGGGTATACCTGCTTCAGGTACACAAAGGAACCAGACACCTCCTCAATTCCAGTCTTCTTGAAGTGCTCCACCAGGTCTGCCAAGCTGTCAAACATTTCGGCACCTCCAACTGTGTAGCGTCCATTCTAAATGGAAGAAGAACGTGTAAAGTCCCCCTCACAACAGTCCTACAGGCAAAGCTGATAACGCTTAGGGAAGAGGTAATGCTGGGGTGCACAGCCACAGGCACCACCCTGTGCCATCTAGAAAAGCACTTCCCCTGGCAGGGAGGTCAAATGGTAGTTTTCTCTGAGAACACTAAGTTCATAGCATGGTGGGCTGACTCCTGGTCTCAGTGGACCGAAGCCCACAGAAGGCATTTTGCCCACAGCTCTCATTTAAGGTCAGCTGCTTTCTGTCCTTGAAATTTCCCCTCTGCTTTCTGTATCACCCCACATGAAAGAAACAGAACTTGTCACAGCCAGGTTGTTAACATCCTTCAGACTAAGGGTGGAGGCCGAGCAGATGCCCCTCCTCCTCCAAGACCTTTCAACTCTTTCGATGAGCTCATAATTAGATTGTGAATCCTCCTCTCTTTCACCACAAGCTCCCTGTACTGGAGTTCTCAATCACACTGAGCCCTGCTGCCTTCCATGCCTGAACACCAAGCACTGCCCAGGGTCACCCAGGCTGGGGAGGGGACGTAAAGAACCTGCAAGGTGACAGCACTTTGATGCCAATTCAGAAACACTGCTGGTGGTAATCGAGCTGACAGGGCCCGTGCTGTTGAGGACAGGATCAGCAGAGATTGTCAAAGATCTCTTCCACTCCCTTTCCTTTTGCTCTCCGAACTGCTCACCTCACACATGATCTTGATGTGTGTGACTTTGAGCCGGGCTCCAGTGGCACTTGTTGCCCCAGCTGGTGGAGCATCGGACCCAGGTTTGAGCTGATCGGTGAGGACGGACAAGACAAAATCCCCAGGTTTGCTGAGGCTCTCCCGCACCAAGAAGGTCCAAGGGGTAGCTTTGGCCTGGAGAAGCGACTCAGCTGCAGAGCCAGACAGATGCCCATGGTACCACCTAGGACAAAATAAGAGAGGGTCACAAGAGAGGTGGAGATGCAGGTAAGCGCATGCACTTGAGCTGATGAGTGAAGGACGGCAAGGCTGGGGAAGGGTGAGGGATGAAGAAAGGAAGGGGAAGACAGAGAGGAAGGAAAGAGAGAGGGGAGGGAGATCAAGGGAGGAGCAGGACCTTGGGAAAAGCAGATGAGACAGAAAGAAGTAGAGAGCTGGCAAGAAAAGGAAAGGGCAAGGGATGCATTGGAGGTAGAAGGGACCCAGAGAGCAGAATACTGGTACCGGAGGACTCAGTGGGAAAGCACCAAGTGTGATCCACTTGTGTGATGCACACAAGTACAGTTAAGCAATGCTTGCTCGCTTGAAGACCAGTTGGGGGAGGGTGGTCTGTGGGTTTCAGCACCTCCCAGCGTTATTGGGCTTCTAGCCTTACTGCTGCAAGGTGCTTTGGAAACTCAAACGCTTGGGAAACAAAAATAAACCCCGCAGTGAGTCAGAAACTCTCCCATCAGGTGTAGCAGCAGCCGGATGGCTGTGCTGAGATCTGATCCATTAAAGAACCATCCCAAGCAATCCCTCTTTCTGAAACTCAAGTCACCTCTTCAATCAGAGGATAATTCCCATTCTCTGGGCACATCACACCGCAGCAATCAGCCTGGCCCTGGGAGTGAACACCAGGAGACACCTGGAGCCCACGTTCTGCTCCTCGTACTTCTCACTGTTGCTGATCCGTGTGCATGTGCCCGTCCTCAGTGCAAACACCCAGTCAGCAGCTCTTCTCTACTCTCAGCACAAGGGGGAGGAGCATCCCCGTTTGATCGAGGTGCTCTCTGCCTTGCTGTAGGAATGGACCCAGGACACAGAGGAACACAAGCCTGGTGCAAATGGCACGGCTGCTGCCAGGGCCCTTCCCACCTACAAAGGTCTGGTGGGATCTCGCTACACTGTGCGGTGTGGGTGCAAGTGATGGTCACCAGAAGCAGGCTGGGAGATGGGACAACCCTGGCCTCCCCTCCTCCTGCGGGGCTCTTGGGCCTGCAGAAACTCCAGACGCGGCCGAGGTTGTCTCTGTGCAGATCCTCCAGTTCCTCCTGCCTGTCCCAAGCTCCGCAGTCTCTTTGGACCACACCAGAAGACACTGCTGAGCTGCCAAGTAGAGATGCAGAAGGAGACGTTCACTGCAGCCCTGTCCTGCTTCCACACTTGGAAGCTGGAGCTAGGGATCCAAATTCTAAAAAGTTGAGAGCTGTGAGGCGCTCTAGGCACTGGGAAATCCTCCGAATCATCCCCCTCCTCTCGGTACCCATTTTCTAGTGAACCCATCTCCGCCCACAGGCCACCACAGCCGTGATGCTCCTGTCCCGGCCCCTTCTCTCCTTCCCAGCTCAGTGCCAGGGATGGGATTTGGCCCCTTCTCCTCCAGCAGGGATGGGCCTGGGTCAAACAGGCCCCTCTGGAGCTGGGACGTCCCCATCTCCAGCTGGGGCTGCGTGCTGGGCTCTGCGTTCAGGGGCCTTTGCAGCATGGCTCCTGTGCCAGCCAAAGGCCGTGGTCACTGCAGCTCTGTCCTGCTTTTTGCCTCAGCAGCTGGACCCGCAAGCCGTTCTGGCCATCTCCCACGGTGAACAGTATTTCAAAAGCGGGTAGCTGTTGCATCAGACTTGATTTGCAACGCCCCTCCCTGCTCCCACTTGTTGTGGGTACTGCAACAAGCACCAGCCACGCTCCGTGTATCGCTGCGCGCACCGCCATCGAGGCCAGGCTATTGCTCAGGAGAGGAGCCAGTGCTGTTAGAGCTGTGGGAACGGGTTTGCTGCCCACAGAGCGGCTAGCAGTGGGGGCCTGGGGTGGTAGTGGTGTCTGTGCTGAACGTCACGGTGTTAGGGCTATCCGTTCCCAAGAATTAAAACGGAGTTCAGGAGGCCATGCTCCAGTCACAGAAGCAACCGGGGTATCCGTTCACCCTCCCATCTGGCCAACACATTCCTCTACACAACATCTAGGAATCATTCTGACAGCAAGATGCATGCGGACAGTTACTGTTTCTTGACAAGTAGCTTCTGCTGACCACCACACACACTGCAAGAAGTAGCCGGTGATTTCTGAACCTCCTTCCAAAGAAGCCATCAGCAGCCACGTGCCAGTGCTCAGATGAACAGGCTGACCCTGTCCTGTTCATCAAACAGGCCACCAGGCCTCCCCTCCACTGGTAGGAAGGGGTTAATGGGTCCCCTTTTCCCCCTCCCTTCCCCCAGTAGCACCCAGCTCTTCAAAGCCACGTGATGGAAAATCACTTGGGGAGAGAGTGAGAGGAGCTTTCGTAAGAGCCTGGTGGCGGGGGGAGAAGTTTCCAACCGCAGGGAGGGAGGGAGGAAACTGCAAGGCCACAACCCAACGGCCTTGAGTGGAGAGGACAGCCAGCAGCCAGACCTCTGAGTAAGCAGGGGTGTACCCAGGTGCTTCACCCCAGGGCATCTTTGCTCCCTGTTTCCAGGCGCACAGGGAAGGACCTGTCCACCCCAGATCACAGCACGACTGCTCCCCAAGCTGCATCAAAGAGCCTGAAAGCACAATGCAAGTTGGGCAAAACCACCTGATTTGATTTAGGAACTTGGTGTCAGAGACATATGCAAAGCGGTGACAGGAAGGAAACTAAGCAGGCCAGGAATAGCAGGGGAACATGGTCCTGCTCTGTTACGTGAGTCACCCAGGTTTGGAATAACCAAGGAGGTTTGGGGCAAGACTGAGGGGCTTCCACATAACATGTCCCCCTACAGACCGCTGCAGACCCATAGCTAATGCCACAACCTTTGGTTTTAGGAACAGTATATAAATAGCGAAGCCCACAGGAAACCAGAAGTATAAATAGAACCCTATTAGGTCTGCTGTGATGGGTCAAGGTACATCCAAGCTCTTCCTGGGGATGCTGCCCCCATGGAAGCATAGGAGGCTACGGGAGGCAGGAGACACTTTTTGGAGGGTTTGCCCTGGGGATGTGGGCAGGGCAGAAAGAAGGGAAACACAGAGGAGGTTTCATCACAGACAGAGAAGCTGCTTTGTTTTCCCCATACCTCTCCGTAGTGGGGTCGGAACAGTTGAGCGGGTATCGCAAGTCGATGATGGTTCCATCCTTGTCCTGCAGCGAGCCCTGTTGCTGTGTGTAGTACTCCACCAGTTCTGACAAGGTGGCAAACTTCTCCCCTCCGTACAGGTCGTAGAAATCTCCGGTATTCTGGATGCGGATGTGTGTTACCTGATCACCAACCCTGTGGGATGATGCACAGAGCAGTCCAGTGAGGCAACTGGAAACGAGGCAGAAAATGTCTTGCATTACCTCCTGCCATGGAACCAGAGCAAACCATTCCAGTGAAGGGAGATGACTGGAAAGGGAAGCTCCTGTGGCAACCTGAGGGAAGCTCTAGGAGATGCTGGGAAGCTCAAGTCCTTTGACAGCTTGGAAAGACAAAGGAATAAGGACAGGATGAAAAAGATGCCACAGGACACGTGAGGATCTAAGCATTCTGTGTACGTAACCCTGGAAAGGCAGAAGCTGGAGTCCGAGTTACTTACCGGACTGAAAGAGAAAAATCCCCCTGATTCTTCCGACTGGGTCTGGCCAGAAAGCTCCCATGGACACCTCGTCCCTTCAGTAAGGCTTCAGCTTCCAGCCCACTCAGGTCACGGTGAAACCACCTAGCAGAGAAGATAAAAACAGACCAAGTGAATACAAAAGACCGGGCACTATTGTGGAGACTCGTAGTGAAGTATGGTCCCCAGTCCCAGAGATACCCGTACAGGTGACAGCCAGCAGCAGCATCCCTTCCTACCTGATACCTCCCCCCAGCCTATGAAAGGGTTCCACTAAAATACAGCTTCCAGGGTGATCCCCGCCTCTGATCTGTCCTACTTTTCCGATCCCCTTCCTTTACGCTTCTCAAGCCCCTCTTACCTCACCATCGTGGAGGACGAAAGAAGAGGGGGCCAAGCAGCTCCCACCAAAGCAACTCAGAAAACACAGACGAAAAAATCAGTTTGCACTGTCAAGAAAAGGGAAGTCGGAGGTCTGTGCTGGAGCACCCAATGCCAAGCCGTTTCTGCGCCTCTTGGGAGCTGGCCATGTAGCTCCCCCGAAATCTACCGCCAGTCCATTGAGACCCTCTCCATCCACCCGTTTCTGGATATGTGCCTTGATCTTTGGCCCTCGGCGCAGTGCACTTGGGCACAGGCAGGTGCAAGCCCGTGCGCAGCTGGGCACGCGCGGCTCCGGGAACAGGAAGCGCTCTGAGCCATCAGCTCCCCAGCCCCAAGCTGCTTTGCACACACTTCTGCTTCTCTTTTTGTGTCCTTCCTCCCCACCCCCCCTTTTTATCCTCGGGTCCCTGACTTTTTCACGCCAGGGTCGCCTCTACGAGCGCATCTTGGGTCCCAGCCACGCTCACAACCATCAGTTCTGTATGTCCTCTGTTCCCCTTCTTCCCCAAAAGGCCAGTGAGAGACACGAGTGCTCCCCAACCCCCAAACCCTTGCCCCGGGGGGGTCACCCACACACCTGCAAAGCTGAAGCAGGCAGCACATGCTAGCATACAGTGAGCAATGAAGCACCCTACTACAGGTTATGACTGACCAGCCGCACAGCTTGGCTCTGCTGGGCTGCCCTCAACTACCCAGCTAAAACCTCCGTGCTCCAGCTCACTGATGAACCCTCCTGCACAGGTAAATGTCCCTCGCGCTCCGAACAGGCACAAGGGAAATCTGTGCAAGCCCAGAGCTGCAGCCTCTGAGGTCCGGGCTACCACTCCAAGCGTAGCCCCTGCCTTCCCGAAAACAGCCTGCTGGGGGTACGTGGCTGCCAGGGGAGCGGTAGCTGGAAAGGGGTGGGGTGGGAGGTGGTGGTGAAGCTACCCAGGAAAGTAGGCAGAGGGCAGGACAAGCAGCTGCTACCCACAGCAGGCCCACGCAGCACCCAGAGAGCTTAACCTAGCACCTTTAAGATCACAGTACAGCATACGGAGGCCAAAGCTGTCAAGCTGGACAGCCAGATACAAAGAAGGAAAACTAACCATTTCCAATTACAGCCCACGGCTTCCCTCTTCCGCAGCACTGGTTTCAAGATCTGCAGGTCTCCTAAAAAAATGGGAGCTGGGCAGTGGCCAAAGAGGGCAATCCAGCTGGCAAAAGGAGCCTGACTTTTCCCTAGGGCCATCTCAGCTACCCTGTGTGGGTGGTGCGGGCAGCAGGAACAGCAAGAGACTGTCTCATTTCAAGTAGCAGCAGCTGCAGATTTCCCTGTGCACCACCAGACTGGGAAATCCTGAAAAAAAAAAAGCAAACCTGAATAGGCTACTAGCAACGACCAAGACAAAAATCTCGTGGCCAAGACAGAAACTAACGACAAAGGGAAGTACAGGAGAGAAGAGCGGGAAGCTAAACTTCATTGCTAGAAAGGCAACCCAGGCACCTACATCAGCTTCCTTTGCAATGCTTCTAGTTTCACACACATTATGAGCTGGGATGTGGTGAGCTGCAGGCATCCAGCTGTACTGACTTAAAACTGGTATTAAAAAAATGAGACTTTAAAGTCACAGAGACCCGTGGCTCAAGGGAACAAACTTCTACGCAAAGTTGTAGAAGTTGTACCTAAAAGACTGCACCTAAATCAGAGCCAGTCTAGCACTGGCACAGGAAAGAAATATTGTGTAGTGGTAGGATAGAAATGACAGAACTTCTGGGCAGAAGTTCCAAAAGATAATTCCTGATATCAAAAGAATATTAGATTATGTAGGGTCAGTAGGAAGCCACAGCAGACAAAAAAAAAAAAAAACCAACCAAACCAACAAACAAAAAACAACCCAGCCATCCCTTACAGCTTAAGAACTGCCTGAAGAAGTCTATCTGAGGAAAATAACATTAGTGGGACACGGGGGAACAGGGAAAGAACAAGGTAGGAAAGAGCCCATATCAGAATAGAAAGGGCAAGGGTGAGTTAGCACTAAACCCATGTAAACCAGTATCCTCCAGTACAACAAGCCACGGGGTGCAGCGTAACCCACGTGTCAGTATTTACGTGGATACAAATCCCAAATCACATAATTTGCAGGATGAATTTATCTTTCTGATTGCTTTCAGCTCGGGAAAGGACTGGATGCACACAGCTGCCTCTGTGTCTTTGATCTGGACCATCTAATTCAAAACTCCCAGGGAGGAGCTCCTGCTGGTAAGGGAGGGAAACACCGCAGCAGAGAAGCAATTGGTTGGTATCTTTGAGGTTGCTCCCCCAAATGGCTGCAGCATGGATAAGCGGACTGTAACTGAACCACTAAAATACTTTCTTAATATAATTAACAGGTCAAGCAAAGAGACGACTCCTGTGCTGCTGTTTGGCTTTCAGTACGACCCAGGTGGTAGAGCCTCATCTTGTAAATCCTTTGTGGAGCCAAGCTGCAGATAGCACAGGAACAAATTTAGAGGGGAAGATAAATGAAATAGCCAATTAAGACAACTGCATCTGGACTGCTGTAAAAAAAAAGACACTGAGAAACTGGACAGAATCCAGCCTAAGGCCACTCAGGCAGCGAAGCTGGGTTTGTTCAGCTTGGAGAAAAGATGCTTAAGGGGGCATTTAACAGCTATCTGAGACTACCTAAAAGGGGCTGGGAGTTTTAGATACGGTAAGCCAGATTTTTTCTTTGTGGGACACAGCAAAAGAAGAAGCAACAGGCATCACTTGAAGCAAGGGATGTTCTGATTATCTACCAGGAAATATTACACACATGCTCCCCCCCAAGGGCAGTTCAGCAATTACCACAGGTCCCCAGGGAGGCTGGGGAAGCTCCACTCTTGGAGATGTTCAGGAGTCACCTGAACAAGGCCTTGAGCAACCTGATCTAGCTTTGGGGTTGGTTCTGCTGTGAGCAGGGAGTTGGACTAGGTGATCCAGAGGTCAAAATGGTTGTCAAAGGAAGAGTAGAGGAAGAGGTTATGTTCCTTTTCCCCCGTACCCCCTAAGCCTCTATATTTGCAGATACTTGCAGAGTCAACTGTCAAATCCAAACAGACTTGGCATCCTTTGGCAAGAAGCTCCACTGCTCAGCTACAGAAACACCCCCTCCTTTGGCTTGCTTATAACTTGCTCTCTACCTCATTCTTATTAACATCTCGTTGTTGTAAAGAAAGACAAATCAATGCCCGAGTCCTGATTCCTATTCACCCCCTCCAAGCTGCTTATGATACAGAACTGTAAGGTCCATATCCTTCCTCAGGTCTTTGCCAGGCTGAAGACTCCAACCCCATTAAGATGTTCTTTGCACAGAACTATTCTACACATCAGATCATCTTTGCTGTCCCTTTCTGAGATGTTTCCAACTCTGTCGCGTTGTTTTGGAGATAAGAGTGAAGGGTGGCACAGAACTGCAGCGTTCCAGATGTTGGTGAATCACGGACATATACAAAGTCAGCGACGATTTCTGCTATTGTTCACCACAGCTGAGCGTTAATCGCACAGCCTTACTCCAGACAGGTTACAATTAGTTCAGTTCACTGTTTTACATGTGAATTTTTAATTCCCTTCTCTGCGTGAACATTGTTTTACATAAGCTTAGATGGAATTTAATCTGCTGTTCTGTTGCCCACTCATTCACTCTCAAAGTCCTTCTACAATTATTCGCAGGCAGTTCCCACCCTATTATCCTGAGTAACTTTCTGCCATGAGCCGATTTTCTCACCTCACCAAGCTCTATTTCCAGATCATTTGGGAATATACTGAACAGCATATATTTCAGGTTAGGCTGCTGTGAGCTGACTACTGATTATTTCCATTTGCTGTGAAAACTGGATGTTTATTCCCACCTTCCATTTCCTATACTATTTTTTTTTTACCCAAGAAACACATCATCTTCTTTCTTATGCCATGACTTTAGCTTTATTTAGACTTTGCTGAGAAAATCTTGTCAAATAATTTTCTGGAAATCCAAGGAAACTGTATCAGCCAGGCCTGCCTTATCCACAAGCTTGCTAAGTCTCTCTAAAGCTCCAGTTTTACAAGACAGGATTTGCCTTTACAAAAGCAGATGCTGACTCTTTCAAGATCACACTCATTGCTTTCTCCATTATACTTTATTCCCTCACATTTGGGGGATCTCATTTGGAGCCCTTTTTGAGAATCAGCATTACAGTTGTTACTTCTAATAGTCAGCACTGAGATGATTTTAGGCAGGAGGTTTTGCTGTTCTGCACCGAACTGCATTGTAGATCAGTTGTTAATGCAGGGAAATGGGCAGATGGACCCTCTTCCTGTGACTTGCCCAAGCCAGATGCTCGCTGTCAGGCCATGGGACCCCGGGGTCAGTGCTGGACCACCACGGTTGCCCAGATCCTTACCAGAGAGTAATGCTAGTGTGAATTCTAATTCATTACACCATGCCACTACAGTCTCCAGACCAGAGCACCCATCTGGACTGACTGTGAAGATTTTACGTCCTGCTGTTCCATGAAGGGCTAGAAAGACCGTAGCAACTCAAGAACCAGGATTTAAAAGGTCAACCACTCTCTGTACATAACCATTCAGAGATGCTACAGTAGAGAGCACCTGCAACAGACAGGGCATCACAAACCCTGCCTGGTCTTTATCAAAGGGAGGAGGAGCAACAGTAACAGCAGCAACAATCTAAACCACCCTGAACTCCAGTCCTCTGGCTCTGCTGTAGCTCCTATAAGAAGGTGAGGTTTTTTCCCCTCCTGTGCTCAATTGTTACCGCCAGTATTTTTATTTCTCACCAACAACTCTTGTTTTCTTCCCCTGACTAGCATCCACAGCACTCACCCACAGGATGGCATCAGGATCTTGACTCTCAGATCCACTGAGGGGAGACTGGCAGCAGCTGGTGGAGGAAGTACCAGAGCCCTTAACAAGGGCGTCCTACTAAGAAAATAAAGCAATATTGGAATTATCAAGACAGTATCTTGAGATGGACTTGGGAGAAAGATCGAAGACCTTGACAGAGGAGGAGTGTACTTGCACTCTCACAACTTATGGCTGTGAGGACCTCGGTTCTAGAGGAGCAGCTGGCAGTGCTGGAGGCTGCAGCACCTCCCGTGACTCACCTGTGTCTGATCCACACAGCCACAGTCCCCACCTCTGCCAGATCCTACGTGGACTAAGAAGGTGGTAGCTCCAAGTCAGGCAAACCGCAGGCCTCAAGCAGAGGGCTTAATTTTCACCATTTGCAAAGCACTTCCTGTGCTGTAGTTAATGAGTAATTCCAGGGGTGGGGGTAGGCCAAGGCCACGCTGGGAGAGGTAGATGGAGACGGAAGGGACTGCTCTTCCTGCCTCCTGCCCGCTGAGCTCACGCCCTCACTGGCTACATTCCTGCCTGGTTTGTAATCGAAAAGCACAGAAGGCAAAACTGGACGCAGCTCTCTCATACCTGGCTCGTAACTCCAGTTCTCCCAGGCCTGGCTTCTTCGCCCCCAGCCCCGCCACCCTGGCTCCCACCACCCTCCCATGGGCAACAGGCACACAAGGCAGGAGGCTACAAGCAGACGTAGCTGACATCCCTTCATTCTGACCGACGTTCAGAAATCAGTTTCATTTGGAAACATGGAACGTCACCCTAGAGCAAGGCCGTCTCCACTCCAGTCCCAAAAAGACACAAAAGAAAATTTGATGTTGTTTACGTGGTTCTAACCCTAGCTGCAGCCGAAGGGAGTAAGCCCAGCCCTCCCATGCCACGCCACTCCCTGCTCCACCTCTCCGCTGCCTTTTTCATTAGGGCCAACGGTGCTTGATGGCACACTCGACCAGAAAGCAATGCAAGCCACAGGCGCTGGCGGCAGGAGCGAGTTAGCTGCACCAACCCTGCTGGGGACAGGGGTCCCCGCAGCATTTACAGCGCCCGCGTTTAGAAACACATTAGCTAGTATGTTTTTCAAAGAGCACATTTATAAATGCTTGCTCTGAGACAGCGCTTAGCACCTCTGAAATGTTAATTTCAAAAAAAAAAAAAGAAAGTCCCTTTGATATCAAGTCCTAGGGTTTCACACTACAGCTTGCATAAACAATTGCATTTTTGCCGAGCTTGGTCCATAATGGGCCCCTCAAAACACTAGCGTAGGTTTCATCAGGCATGAGGTGGGCGCTGCTGGAACTGCCTGTGCACCAGGGGGAAGCATCTGTGCCCGAAGAGCACCGCTGAGCTCACGTTCAATTCATGAAACAAGGGCGTTTTCAAGAGAGTTTTTTATTCACGAGCAGACACAAAGCATCCCCCGTTCCTTTAAGGTTAGTGTTTCCCCTGTCCGAGCGTTCCGTTCCCGGGGACGACAGGACTCACACCTGAGAAGGAGGGCACCGGCCTCAGCACCGCCACCCGGTGAGGCAGGAGGGGCCCACGGCCTCAGGAGGTTGTCACTCCGCCGGTCCCGGCCCCGTGCGGAGGCAGCGTCATGGGCGGCAAGAACATGGCTTTGAGCTTGCCCGACATGCTGGCGATCTCCAGGTCCTGCGACTCGTAGGATTTGATCAACCGGGCGAACTTCAGGACCCCTGCAAGACAGCGGGTGGGAAGGAGGTACCCGCCCGCCCGACCCCCGCGGCGGGCCCGGAGCTCCCCGCCCAGCGGGGACCAACCCACCTTCGCCGTCGTTGCTGAAGCCGTAGGCTTTGATCACGTCCTGCTGGATCTGGGTGGCCACGGGCAGGAGGAACTGCAGCATCTTGCCCATGTCGTTGCAAGCGTTGTCCCGAGCCTCCTCCATGCGCTGGGCGTTCTCGGGCGCCCCGAAGGCCTTGATCACCTCCGCCAGCACCACTGCGAGAGACGGTGAAGCGGCTGCCAGCCCGCCCGGGCCCCGAGAGCCGCCCGCCGCCCTCCTGCACTCACCCTTCGCCTGCTCCGCGCTCAGCGCCGCGGCCTGCGCAGACGCCGCCATCGCGGTTTGGCCGGGCACCCCCTCACCGCCCCCTCAGCCGCTCGCGCATGCGCAGCGGCGCCCTCGCCTGCCATTGCACTACCGGGGGAAGGCTTCCCGCCGCGCGGGAAACCTGCTGGACAAATACTAAAAGAGCTGAAATCACTGCCAGCAGCCTTTCCCCGCGCCACGACCCACCCACGCCGCCTGTCCCCGAGGTGAGGGCGAGAGCCGCCGAGGCCACGCCCGCCACCGACCGCCTCCCGCGTGGGTACCCCGCTGCCGCGCCCCTCACCCGGCCCCCCCTCCCGCACTGGCAGCGGCGGCTGCCACCGCCACGAGCGGCCCCGCCGCGCCGCGCGGCCGGTATGCAGATGTCTCGCTTCCCATTGGTGCCGCGGCGCGCTCGCCCCGCCCCGCGGCGGGGGGAGGAGGGGGCAGGCTCCGCCGTTGTCACCGCCCCCAGGGCGCGGGGCGCCAGCGCTGAGGGGAGCGGGCGGCGGGAGGAGCCCCGCCCGGCCCCGCAGGCCGCTCCCCGCACCCGCGGGCCGGGCGGGCCCGCTCCTCGGCCCCTCCGCCGCCTTTCCTGAGGCGGCACCCGCTGCTAGCGGCGGGTACCAGGTCCCCAACCCTTCTGAGCAGCCCTGGCTTTCACCTCCTTGGGGAACGCGTCCTCCTGGGGGAATGCGGCTCACCCCCAAGGCGAGCCGCAAGTCGCGGCCCCAAGCGGCCAGGTCCCCTCCTGGCCCCGGTAAAGAGAAATTAACACAACGGAGTCTGTTTCTGGAAGGGTTTTTTTGGTTGTTTTGTTGTGTTGGTTTTTTTTTTTCTTTTTCTTTTTTAAGAGCTTCATATATATATTTCTATATATAAATTATTAGAATGTGTGTTGGGGCTTGGAAGTGCATGGGGAACTTTGGGTGGTTTTCCATAGCTGGGTTGTTGGTTGGTTTTCTTTTCCTTTTAATGGTTAAGTAAATATATATATGGGGACCAATCGAGAGATACAACTGTGAGATCAGACACGCACACAGGGGCAAGGGAGTCACAAGTTGCTACATAAAACTGCCACGTCTAATAGGATGTGCATGAGTTAAAAGTACATCGATTAGAATGGGTGAGGGAAAAGGAGCAGCCACCCTCTTAAAGACAGTCCCAGGATGCTGTTTTGCTCGGCCACATCAGCTCTCCCTGCGGGGCTCAAAGGGGTCATGGTAGTTATTGCAGTCTTGCAGTCTCGTGCTTTGCACCTTTGTGGCTGTGCCCGTTTCCGTCAGCTGTGGGAAAGCAAAGCCACCATCTTGCAAACAGTCTTGAGGGGTGCTTTGCACCCCGATGGCTGGGACCAGTCCCTCTGCAAGCAGGAGCAGCCACTTTTGAAGGGGTCCCGTAATGCTTTGTTTGCATCTGAAGGGACGCTGGAGAATGGGAAGCCGCTCCAGCTAATCTGAAAAAGTTCCACGTTGTTTTTCTGTATCACTAAGCAATATCTTACACCTATAGGGGGGTGGGGTGTGAGGAGGCATCTTGCAAAAAAGGCTCTGCTGGGTTTTGAGTTAATTCTCTGCTACACCTCCTCCTCACTGAAGCAGAAAAGGCGGCAGCAGCATCAAGTCCTGCAATGCTCTGCATTTTTGTTTAATGCAACTGTTCCCCCAAAACAAAGGATGGAGCTGCTGCCACCCTGAATTCATGTCAGTCTTTGTCTTTTTGAGCTCTGTGCAATGCTGATTCCGTTTTCTTCAGAGCTCTGCCGAAATCACGTACCGACTGTTTCACGCCTGTTAGCGGTGTTTCAGTCCCTCCCCAGTTCTCCACTTTGCTCCCAGGGTGCCATCCTGTACTTTTTGTCCATGTTCTCTTGTGCTCTACTGCATGGTAGGATCAGGATGTGTCACTCTGTGGCCTCCCCTCCCCCAGAATTTGGTTGATTGATTGCTCCTCTTGAGAGAAAGACATGATGATGTCATGTTGACAGCAGAAGTCCATTTAAAGGGGTTTGTCGCTCTCTTTCTTCAGGTGGCTAGAAAAAGAAGAGGAACAAGGTGATTGTGATAGAGAACAAGGTAATTTAGTATCTCCCACTGCCTTTTATTGGTCTAGAACCACACAACACTGCTGACTTGGAAAGTTTTGCAAATCCTTCAAGTAGGAGATGCTACTTAAAAGGTGCAACATTGCACCTCTCTTTCCCGACATGCTTCCCCAAGAATTTGTGAAAGCCTCGTCTTGGATGCAAAAGCATCCAACCCTTTTGAATGTTTGGTGTTTTGGGCAGCGGTATCGGTTAGTCCTAACTCTATTAGCCTGTGTGAAACATGCAAGTTTACCACCTGCCCCGCAAGAGAGGAGCTGAAACCCCCACGTGGAATTAGCCACCGAGCAGCCGCTGGGCAAGAACGACCTTCCTGGTGGCCAACCCGCAGCCGTGCCCCGGCGGCAAGGCATCCCTCCTCCCAGGCGTGGGCTCAGGCCAAGTCACCTGCTTCAGGGGCAATGCTCCCCTTACCCGCACTGCCTCTGCCAGCCCTAGGCCAGGGCCAGGCCTGGAGCTGCACCTGTGAGGGCAGAGCCGTCTGCTCGCCCCGGAGGGAGCAGGTCCACGCACCTGTAGTAATCCTCCTGCGTCGGGAGCGGCACGCCGTGCAGAGGGTGGTGGGCGTGAAGCCACTGCTGCTGCTCCAGAGCCAGGCGCTGCAGCTCAGCTGACTGCGCGTGCATGGCCTGAAGCTGATGTGCTGCTGACATGGGCGCCGAGAGGGAGCCCGGCAAGTCCCTGTAGGGTGTAGCTGCAGCCAAAGACGAAACAGAGAATAAACAAGTTGACGTAACGGCTCCATCCTCACCCACGGCCCCACAGCTCGGTCAAGCCTCTACTGCGCTTCCTTTCCCAGCCCTGCCCCCGTGCAGGACTTGCTCATCCCCTGGCAGTGTAGGCCTGTCCTGTGCTGTGCCAGAGCTCTGTTTAATAGACCTCAGTTTGATCCTGTGACCCTGCCATGAACACCCCGCCCCTTGGAGCTCTGCTGATGCTCCTTAGGGACCAGCAGTCCCCGTGAGTATTCTTACCAAAAAGCTGGTGGCGCAGCACTTCGTTCTCATGTAGAGGGTGAGGCAAGAGGGGGTTGGGGATGGTTCCAGCTGGGTACGGTATCCGGGTGAGGTGTGATCCTGAGGCGAGTGGGTCAATAAGAGGGTGAACAGAGGCCGAGGCTGGGAAGAAAAAGATACCACAAGGTAACTGTCCCAAGCTTTGTAAGGGGTAATGCAGAGAAAGGCACAAGGCACAACAAAACAGACATGGAGAGGGTCGGTGTGTGTTAGGGATGGAACGATTTCAAGGCTAGACAATGCAGTACCATGTCCTTCTGAGTGTTACTCTTTTCGCCTGCACTGAATTTCACATAAACCAGTCTGGCACAGTTCTGTCTTTCCACTCCTGAGGGAGAAGTACTGCTCCTTGAAGTTGATTCCGCAAGGACCCGCTCTGCAATCACGCTCGTACCCGGTATCACGCCTGTCGGTCACCCTGGCTGTCGTTCTCATATTGGGTGCTCCCATTTCCAGGCATCATCCAGCAAAGATGCTCAGTTCCAGGCACTCAAGTTTGCAAGGACTATCTAAGGCTGCAGTGCTAGGTACTGTTTATATAAAAACCTGCTATCTCCAGTGTTTTGGACTCACTGTCAGAGTGCTGGCTGTAGGTGCTCAGCTATGGAGCACGGTGGAATGGATATTTATTTGTACCCGATGCTATCTCTGAGTAGCTGTGACTGCTTAAGGTGGGTGTCTGTCTGTGACTCTGCCACCAGATCACACTGACCGCTCACAGTACCTGAGCAGGAACAGCATTTTTTCCTACTGTACTGTAGTTTGGGCTTTGCTGCCCTGAGATTTTCATCCCTCAGCTTCTTTTTACTGTGCTTTCCCATAGGATGGGGCACCACTCAGTTTTGAAGGACAGTAGCCTCCAGTTCCTTACAATTAGCCTCCCATCCCATCCCACCATCTGCAGCAAGCCACAGGAGCAAACTAGAGAACCAACATTTCATTAGACCTAAGGATACTGTCAAACCTGTTGCTGGCAGGGGTCCCGCTCCCTCTGCAGACCACAGTGCGAGGGACAGGGTCCACAGCACCACCACACTGGTAGCGTGCAGGACCCCAGCACTCATACTGCATCTCCAGAGAGTCAGAACTAAAAGACACGGCGCAAAAAATTCTGCTCACCACTAAGCAGCAAACTCACAGACACCCCAAAACCTGCAACCGATGTCGGTGTCTTTGGTGGGACGGGAGCAAGGGCAAGGCTGAATGACCATGAGGTTGACCTCTTCTGGCTGAGAGGTGGATCTGAGGCCCCCACGTCTAGTCTTGGCAGCTTCTGGGCTTTCCCCAGGGCCAGAGGGAGGGAGCGCAAGGAATGCACAACAGGAGGGAGCGCAAGGAATGCACAACAGGAGGGAGAGCAGGGCTTTGTGCAGGGCACCACCACTGTGGGGTCCTTACCTGCATGTATGGCATCCTGCTGGTGGAGATGGAGGTGGGAGTGGATGTGGGAATGCTGATGATGATGAGGTGTCACATTGAGCATCTGCAACCGGGCCAGGGGGTCATTGCTGAGAGCAGCCACTCGCTCGGCGTGCTGGCGCTCAGCCGCCAAACGCTCCGCATAGGACATGTCGGGACGAAGGGTCGGGCCAGCTGCCAGCGCCAGCCTCTCCCGCTCCAAGTGGCCCAGCCCTGGGTGGAAGGGAAAAGCAGGGTGAAGGCCGGGGGCCGTCTGCAGGCTCAACCCGCCGTGGCGTGGGAACGGATCCATGGCAGCAGCTGGCACAGCGTGGAGCTGCTCCAACTCAGCCGGCTTGACTTCGAAGCCAGGCTTGAGACGTTCGCGCAGGTCCCGGTCCCTCAGGTCTCGTTCACGGGCTTCCCGCTCCCTCAGCTCTCGCTCCCGCGTTGCTGGATCACTGCTGTAGATGGCTGGCACGTTGTAACCCAGCAAGCCTGGGTCAACTGCACCCAGTGGCACGTAGAAAGGGTGGTTGCGATTGCTGGGGGACATGACGTGGGGCCGTGCATATTCACTGAGGGTGCGCAGAGCCGGGGTGTCAGGGCCCAGGTAAGGGGGAACAGTCGCTACAGCACTGCCCTGCTCGAAGGAGGGGCGGTGGGGAACTGTCCCAAGAGACGAGCACTCAACCGG